AAAACTTGTAAAAATAATTGAATTCCTAAGAAAAATAAATTTTATTATTTATTAAAAAATATTGAAATTCTTGTAAAGAATTCTATTAAAGTTCTTTTTAAATAATTGAATTCTTTCGTGAAATTTTATTAAAATAGTAAATAATTGCACAATAATTGAATTTCAGCGAAAATTTCCATTTATTTGGAAAAATAATTGAATTCTTAAGAAAATTTTTTTAAATAATTGAATTCTTGCGAAGAATTTTATAAAAAAACTTTTTAAATACTTGATTTTTTCGAAAAAACTTTATGAAAATTGTGTTTTAAATAATTGAATTTTCAGAAAAATTTTATAATTTATGAAAATAATTGAATTCTATAGAAAAATTATCTATGAGAATAATTGCATTTTTCGGGGAATTTATTTAAAATGGTTTTAAAAATAATTGAAATCCCGCAATGAGTTTTATTGTTTATAAAAATAATTAAATTCTTATATTGAACTTTATCAAAATTTTTTTTCAAATAATTGAATTCTTTCGAAGAATTAAAAATTTTTATAATAAAACATTTTTAAATAATTGAATTTTTTTTTGAAAATTTCTTTGAAAATTGTGTTTCTCGTACATTTGTACGAAAGGGCATTTGTTTTGTAAGCCCGTTTACTACTTTAATAAATAAATAATTGAATTCTATTCTTATAACAAATTTTACTAAAATTTCCAAAAATAATTAAATCCCAGGAGAAGAATTTTATTATTTATAAAAATAATTGAATTCTTTCGAAGAATTTTAATAAAATTTTAAAGAATAATTGCATTTTTTAGAGAAATTCACTTAAAATTGTAATAATAATTGCAATTCTATAAATTGTTTGTAAATGTTTGTAAATATTACTTAGAAAAATAATTGAATTCTTGTAACAAAATTTTATTAAAATTTGCAAAAATAATTGAATCCCTGAGAAGAATTTTATTATTAATAAAAATATTGAAATTCTTGCGAAGAATTCTATTTAAAGTTTTTTTTAAGTAATTGAATTCGTTCATAAAATTAAAATAGTAGATTTTAGTAAACGAGTATGAAGCCTCAGAAAAAATTGTCAATTCCTTGTGAATTGGGTGCAAGGTATTTTTTTCCATAAGTGAACTTATGCAGAGAATAAGTGAAAAAATTTGATACTGTTGTGCCACTGATCACGACGCAGACATAATCCAAATGATGTTTCACAGTCTCTTGTTACAATATTCGTCATTGGATACAGTAGGTCGACATTATTTTATTGTACGTCAATGAATAATAAACTCATAATCATTGGTAATAATCTGCCAGCGCTCTCACAGTGCGAAACATACGAGAATTTATAAAGAAGAAACAAAACGACAAATTTTATACAATAAAAATAGTGTTTAGAATATTATAATGTACACTTTTCTGCTGTTAAAAAATAATTCCCTCTTTCAGCCCACTTTTGACTAAAATTTTCAAAGCTCCCACCAATTTTTTTTTACTAAAGGCTAAATTTTCAAAGCTCCAACTAATTTTTTACTAAAGGCTTAATTTTTAACTAAATTTTTTACTTATATTGTAAATTAAATTTTTTCTAAACTAATAGTTTTAATTTAAAAACTAAAACCCATTTTGGTTTTATAAATTTTTTCCTGGATGTCACAGAAATTCGTTTTTTCTGTGACACCCAGGGAAAAATTTGTAAACCCAAAGAAAAGTTTTATTCAAACCAAATATGTAAAGGTAAAAGGTGTAACGTATAATATAGTGTTTGTAAATATTTGAACAACAATCTTTAAAAAAATTGCGAATAGTTTTTAAAAAAAAAGTTTAGGGTTGTATTATTGTTATTTCCGGGTCCCCGAACCGGGGTCGCATATTGATTGTATTCAAAAAAGAAAAAAAGTTATTGAAAAATATATTCTAAAGAGAGAGAAATATACCCACGATGCGCACAAGAAATATGGGACTCAAATAGAAACGTGCAGTTGCCGTCGAAAGAAAGATTTCTCATGATTTATTTGACCCGTTATGTTTCTTTAGTCCTCACTTTTCCTTTTTCGACTGGTACCTCTCAATATTATGCACTTACTTCCCATTCCGTTAAGCTTTTACTTTTTTCCTTTTACACACAATGTTGGTTTATATTTGTGATTTACTTTATAAACATAACCGGCATTATTTATGTCGTAATCCAATTTTCCATCCAAGCAGCTAATTTCCATCCATTCAAATATCTAATTTTCCTCTTTTGTTGTTTTAATAAAAACCTAATAAAAAACCAACTATAGGAAAGTAATGTTTACTATTATCAAACAGCAATTATAAACATCTGAATGGAAAATCTACCCATTTTTTTGGGTATTATGATACTTCCGGTCATCGCAAGCTCGTAGGGGAAATCGGAGGGGAAATCAAAGGAAAGAATAAGAGATAAGAAGAAATCAGAACTGAATGGAACTTTGATTTTTTGTTTAGATTGAAGGGGGTAATTAAAGCTTGGTCCTAGGGACTTCCTACTTGAAATTTTGACCAAGCCTTCTTTTGGAGCAGATTTATACGGCTAGATAGTGGGTGGAACAACATAGAGTTGAATAAATGCATGCACTGCTTGGAAGACAAGGGGCGTGTGTGGGAAAGTTACTCGGTCACGCAACAATGCAAGAAATAATCGCAAATGACCACAGAAAACTCGTTCTTATCACATCGATTAATTAAAGTATATCATAAAGGTGTAAAACTAATAAATATTTAAATTAAAATACAGAAATCAAGTGAGAAAACACTTTTGTCCTGTTTTTGTAAATGCTACTCAAGTAATTTGAATTTAAGGTGTAAATAATAATTTTTCTTTCTTTTGACCTTTTATTACAAAGGAAAAAAAGAAATCTTACTTTCAGCCCACTTTTGAAAATAAAAAGCTTAAAAACTAATGACTTTAGAACCTTGACTTAACTTTAGAGACTGATCTACTCATCTACTGAAACCTACTATATTTATTACTTTTTTTTTTACTATTTGCTACTATTTGGATATTTTTATTTATTTCTTACACTAAAAGCTACTTTTTCCATGTTTGAGAATTTACACTTGAAATTTGTTAACAGTTGAAATAACAAAATTATTTTCAAAAATTTTAATAAACTTATTGAGAAAATTCAAAAAATTTTAATAAATTTCTCTAAAACGATTCAATTATTTTTATAAATAATATACAATTTACTAAAATCTTTAAAAATAATTGAATTCCTGTGAAGAATTTTATTATTTATAAACATAATTGAATTCTTGCGAAAATCATTGGATTCTTACGAAAACTTTTCATAAAATTTTTAAAAATAATTGAATCGTTTCAAAGAATTCAATTATTTTTATAAATATTAAAACTCATCGCAGAATTTCAATTATTTTTAATACAATTTAAAATGAATTGCGCGAAAAATCTAAACTATTCTTAAAAACTTTAATAAAATTCTTTAAAAGAATTCAATTATTTTAAAAAAATGTTAATGAAATTCTTTATAATAATTGCATTGTTTTCAATACAATTTTAATAAAATTTTTTGAAAAAAAATCATTTCATTAAAAAGATTCTTTTTAAATTCTTCTCAAGAATGTAATTACTTTAAAAACTCTATTAAAGTTCGGTGACAAAAAGTTCAATTTAATTAAAAATGCATTGAGAATATTTATTTAATTCTAATAATAAATTTTATCAAAATTATTTTATAATAATTAAATTCTTTCGAAGAATTTTCATAAAATTTTTCAGAATAATTGCATTTAAAATTGTATTAAAAATAATTGAAATCCTGCGTTGAGTTTTATTATTTATGAAAATAATTGAATTCTTATAACAAATTTTATTAAATTGTTTAAAAGTAATTGAATTCCTGAGATTTTTTTTTCCTGAATTACCTATTTATAAACATAATTGAATTCTTGCGAAAAATTTTATTAATTTTTTTTTAAATAATTGAATTCTTTTGTGAAATTTGATTAAAATATTAGATATCGAAAATAATTGAATTTCACCAAAGATTTTTATTATTTGGAAAAATAAATGAATTTTTCCTAAAACTTTTCTTAAAATTTGTGAAAATAATTGAATCGTTTCAAAGAATTCAATTATTCCTATAAATATTAAAACTCATCGCAGGATTTCAATTATTTTTAATACAATTTTAAATAAATTCCGCGAAAAATGCAATTATTCTTATAAATTTTAATAAAATTCTTTGAAAGAATTCAATTATTTAAAAAAAATTTAATTAAATTTTTTATAATAATTGATTTTTGCTGTATATAATTTTAATAAAATTTTTAGAAAGAATTCAATTATTTTTATAAATAATATACAATTTTCAGAGAAATTCAATTATTTAAAACACAATTTTCAAACAAATGATTTTTGTATTTAAATAATTGAATTCTCGTAGAACTTTCTAATAAGAATTGATTTAGAATTGAATAAAAAAAATGATTAAAGTTTTGAATAATTTTATTTATAAATTTCAAGAAAAAAATGATTGAATTTTAAAAGAATTACTTTTGTAATTTTTAGAAATAGTTAAACTTCAAAAATGCGTTACATTGAAATCATTTGAAAAAATTATTTAATTCCAGTAGACAAAATAAATAGGTATTTAAATATTCATTTAAAAAAATTATTCTATTTTTGAATAGTATAATTAAGAAATTATAAAAAAATTGAGTCTTCAAGTTTAATTTTTCGATAGCTGCTTTTTTACCATTTTTTTTTTCTGTCTTTAAGCTACTTTTTGCTACTTTATTAAAATTAATTATCGAGTACGAAGCCTGAATTACCCTCAAGTGTAGAATAATCCTCTTTAAATAAAGAGACGTTTTTTGAGCCATAGAGAAAAATTTGCATTGAAATAAGAGGAATCCTCTTAAAACAAGAATATTTTTTTTCATTGCGTCACTAGAGTATACTAATCCTTCCAAGTCTGCGAAAGGGGAATATTTTTAAAAATTTTACAAACATACCGTTTCATCAAAGACGAGATTCACCTGCCGATGGTCCGTAATCGGATGAGGATGTGGAGGTCGATGCATCCTTCCAGTATGAACCTCCGGATAGTCGATCTGTAAAAAAAATTATTTCTTCAGTTCTTTACTTATATTTCTGACAATCTTTGATTCTTTGAGCCTAATAAAGTAATAACTTTAAAGCCTAATAATATTTCAATTTACAATTTACATCATCAAAAGTCCTCAAAAGTTTTATTAAACCCTAAAGTTACTACTTAACTCATAGTTCTAAATTTAAAAATATTCTTAATTACACAGTTTTTCTAAGGATGTCAAAATTGAGACAAAAAACGAATCAAAAGTGTTGCGAAGCAACGTTTTGACTCGTTTTTTGTCTCAATTTTCATATCCTTAGAAAAATCCTTAGCAAAAAAATTTAAAATGTTGCGAAACATCGTTTTTGATTCGTTTTTTTGTCTCAATTTGACATCCTTAGAAAAACTGTGTTTTAAAAATTCTGAAAGAACAGTAAATTTTCAAATATTGTTTGCTGAGACTGTTTAAATACAACTAATTTAGATATTTCCTGTGCCTTATCATTCATTCAACAAGGAGCAGTTTTCCTTTTTTCAAGTGTCAAAAAAAAAAAAAAAAAAAAAAAAAAATTGTTATCTGTCATCATCAGGGGGTGTTTACAATTTGTTTTTATGTCAGCTGTATTAACATTTTACTGAGGATATACTCGTGCCACAATATTTAGCTCCTGGGAAGAAATGAGACAGTAGCGTTTGTTGTAATGTGTGTGCAGAAAAAGGAGGAAAAAAAAGAGAAAAACAACGGACTCTGGCCGGAACTCGTAGGCCGGACTTCCGGTTGATATAAACGTTTGCCCGTCATTAAAATCCTATATATATTGAAAATACTCAGAGATTTACTTTAATATTTTGTTAATTGTTTTTTCCAAAAATTTATCAAGTTCTGCTGCTGCAATAAATAACCTGAAAATTATTGTTCTTAATTTAAATTTAAAATTTAAATTTTTGTGTGTTTTTTTTTGTAAAGTACAAATTTTTTTCTATTTTTTTAGACTTTGAATCATATTCTCCGAGTGGGTCCTTCAACCCCGCGTGGGTGAAATTCCATACGATTGTATTTGCGCTTCTAAATGGATGTAAGTTTTCATTTAATAAATAGGTCAAGAAATAGACAAACATTAAACAAATTTTTAAATTTATTTATTTTATTTATTTCTCCTATTTTTTCATAGTTTTAATTTATTTTCAAATTAAAAAAATCCTTTACAATCTTTGAAAGAATTCAATTATTTTTTTAAATTTTGATAAAATTCTTTAGAGGAGTTCGATTTTAAGAAATAATCAAGTATTATTTTTTGTATGTTTAATTTTTAATAATTGATTATTATCAATTATTAAAAATTAAACATACAAAAAATAATGCAAAAAATAAATTGAAAAAAATTGATAATTGAATTCTCGTAGAACTTTAATATTATTTTTAAAAAAATTTTGATAAAATTCTTTAGAGGAATTCAATTTTAAGAAATAATCAATTCTTTTCAATTCTACTTCTTCTTCTTTCAATAATCGAAAAAATAAATTAATTTACAAGTAACAATAATGGAAGGGAAAAAAGTTTCATCTTTAATAATCAATTACTTTGATAATAATTACTTACAAATGTAAGTAAATAATTGAATTCTCGTAAAACTTTCTAATAAAAGAATTGATTTAAAATTGAATTTCAGCTTAATTTTAGAGAATGAAAAAATATTTTTGCCAATTCAATAAAAGATTTAAAATTTTAAGAAATAAATTTTCTTTTATTCATATGTATAATATAATCATGTATTGTTTATCACTGCATATTTTTAATAACTCACGTATTAAATAACCGGCTTTTGTGCGTCAAAAACTCTTTCAACAGCAGTTAAAATTATTTACCATTTACGTCAGTAATGTTATAACTTTAATGAGGAAATGTTGCAAAAACGCTGATACAAAATAAAATTGCAAATTTTTCCCAATTCACCAAATCATAATGTTTACATTGTGAAAAATATTTTTCCTCATAATATATACATAACTCGGGAGTTTGCTTTTTCCGATAGTTATTATAATAAAATTGCGGTTTATTGAAAACTTTCTCTAATAAACTACTTATAATTATAACAGAGTTTATAAATGGTTTACAAGTTTTTGTTTACAATTCAATTTTACGAAAATTCTTTAATTAAATATATATATTAAAAAATAACAACTTTAAAAAATTTCAAAAAAAAATTCAATTAAACCTTTTGAAAAAAATTAATTTCACCGAATTGTTAGTTAAAATTTTTATTTTCAAACATTTTAATTTGAAACCATTTCAAAATTCAATTATTTCTATAAATTCTACGCTATAATGCTTTTAATATTCAATTATTATTTATTATTTATAAAATTTTAATTGAAATTAATTTTTAAATCAATGTTTATTAGAAAATTCAACGAGTATTCAATTATTTAAATAAAAAAATAATTTATTGAATAATTGAATGTTTCTTAAAGTTAAATTCACATCAAGAATTTTATCAATAAATTTTTAAAAAATTGAATTCTTTAGACAAATTTAAATAAAATTTTTTTTTTCGAGAAAGTCGATTAAAATCGTATTAAAAATAATAATTGAAATTCTGCGATGAGTTTTATTGTTTTTGAAAATGATTGTATTCCTAAAAATAATTTCATTTTTTATGAAAATAATTAAATGTGTTTGTGTAGAATTTTATTAAAATGTTTTTTAAATAATTGAATTACTGCTAAGAATTTTATTATAGGGTAAATGCACTAGTAGTCGGACACTTAAGGATACAATCTTAAATTATGCTTTTTTTCTTGAAATAGCAAATATCTACTGTGTTTATAAGCACATTATTAATTAAATGAGTTCTTCAGGATTAAAAATCATGTAAATTTGTTACAAATACTTGAGTATTTAATAAAATATAAACATTTTAATAAAAAATTACGAATGCTTTAGTAGTCGGACACTTTTTCCCCTTGTTTCTATAGTCGGACATCGGTCAGATATTTTGAATTTATAAAGTGAAAAAGATAATTTTTTAATTGCTATCTACTGGAAAATGGAATTAAAGCATATTAGAAGTTATTAATATAATATTTAAACCCTATAAGTTTTAATATTTATGATTAATTATCAACAAAACTTTGTGCCACTCATCGCGCTACTCGAAAATGGCTGTATCTATAGTCGGACACCATGATTTTTAAAACATTAAATAAAATATTTCTTGTTTAATTATTTTCGAAAATAACACTATTTTAATAAAATATAAACTTCACACATTCGTCTAGTATACTTTTTAAAGCAATTATCACAATGCATTATTATTTATTTGTCAAAAAACACGAAAGTGTCCGACTACTAGTACTGTCCGACTATACCCGCACTTACCCTATTTATGGAAATAATGGAAAATTATTTATGTAAACATTTCAATTTTTGAGAAGTATTTTGTTATTTATAAAAATAATTGAATTCTTTCGAAGAATTTTATTAAAATTTTTTAAAATAATTGAATTTCGAAGAAGAAGATTATTATTTATAAAAATAATTGAAATTTTAACTAGAATTTTATCAAATTTTTTCTTAAATAATTAAATTGATACGAAGAATTTAAAAAAAAAATTTAAACATAATAAATTGAATTCTTGCAACAAATTTTATTAAAATTTTCAAAAATAATTGAATTCTTACGAAGAACTCTATTAATTTTTTTTTTAAATAACTGAATTCTAGCGAAAAATTGTATAAAAATCATTTTAAATAATTGATTTTTTTTCGAAAAATTTTATGAAAATTGTATTTGTTCGAAAATAATTAAATTCCTGTGAAAATTTTATTATTTATGAAAATAATTGAATTCTTAAAAAGAATTTTATTATTTACGAAAATAATGAAATCGCTGTAAATATTTTATACTATTGAATTTATGCAAAGATTTTTATCAAAAAATTTGATATGTAATTAAATTTCATCAAAGAATTTTATTATTTACGTAAATAATTGAATTTTTAGGAAGAATTTTATTAAAATTTTTCATAATCCTAATTAAATTCTTTTAAAGAATTTCTTTGAATTTCTTTAAAATAATGGAGTTTCTTTAATAATTTTAAATTGAAAATTTTTAAAGTAATTGAATTTTATATAAACAATTTCTTTCAAGTTTTTACAAAAATAGTGTTTCTTAATAATTGAAATTAAACATTTAATTTTGGGAATTTTATTAAAATTTGTATAAAATAATTGAATTCTTTTGGAAAAATTAAAGAAAATTTTTGAAAATAATTGAAATTTTGCCGAGAATTTTATCAAAAATTTTTTTAAGCAATTGAATTGATACGAAGAATTTTATTAAAATTTTTAAAAATAATTGAATTCTTGCAAATGAATTATATTCAAATTTTCAAAAATAATTGAATTCTTACAAAGAACTTTATTAATTTTTTTTTTTGTTGAAATAATTGAATTCTATCGAAGAATTTTAGAACAATTATTTTAAATAATTTGATTTTTTCGAAAAATTTTATGAAAATTGTGTTTGAAAATAATAAAATTCCTGTGAAAATTTTATTATTTATGAAAATAATTGAATTCTTAAAAGGAATTTAATTTAATTTAATGAATACTAATGTTATTCTTACGATGAATTTCACTACTTATAAAAATAATTGAATTGTTTCGAAGAATTTATTAATATTTTGAAAAATAATTTTTTTTGTTTCGAAAAATGTTATTAAAATTTTTTTTTAAATTAACTTTTTTCATGAAATTTTATTAAAATTTTATTAAAAATAATTGAGTTTTTGTAAAGAATTATACTGTTTATAAAAATAATTGAATAGCTTTGAAGAATTTTGTTATTTCTCTAAATAATTTGAATTTTTGCAAGAATTTTATTAATATTTTTTAAAGTAATTGAATTTCGGAGAAGAGTTTTATTATTTACAAAAAAAAAATTGAAATTTTGATGAGAATTATTTAAAATTTTCTACCATGATTAAATTTTTGCAAAGAATTTTATTTGTACTTTT